TGCACTGGATCTCCCCACTCCCGCCGTTCCCGGTCACCTTCGTACTCCCGCTCTCCATCTAGAGATCGTGGCCGCTCCTACTCTCGCTCTATCACTCCCTCTTCCCGGGGCCGAAGCTACACACCTTCACGCTCTCGGTCCCCCGTCCGTCGCCGTCGTGACACATCAGTCAGTCGGTCCCGGACTCCCGCAGGACGATCCCGATCACGATCCGTCTCCCGCACGCCGGCTAAGCGCAGTCGAGCACGTTCCCGCTCCTATGACTCGAGAAGCCCAAGTCGCAGTCCTTACCGACCTCGTCGCTCGGTCACTCGGTCTGTCACACCGCCACGCCGAGGCCAAAGCCCTCCCAGCCGGAGAAACCGCAGCTACTCCAGATCAATTTCCCGGTCTGTCTCACCTGCACCTCGTCGTGAGCCCGCGCCCAAAAGTGCGACGTCCAGAAGCGCAAAACGATATTCGTCTGAATCTGTGTCGCCCCCTCCCCGCCGACGACGTGGGGCTGCAGACTCTGTCTCGCGCTCCCGCTCGCCTACTCCTAAGCGTCGGGCAGAATCACGGGGTCGAAGCTCTTCGCGGACACCACCTCGGCGCAGATAAAACGGGAACCTCTGATGCTTTGATCCCGACCTGGGGATTGGCTGAAAGGTCCGTATGTTACTGTTGATAATGAAATAGTGCGTATTTGGAGCGAAAATACGACGTTGTACTTGTTTTATTCGGTCTGGTGCCAGGAATTTGAAACTTATGGGGATTCATTAGGAGCAAATCAATCATTCATGGTGTCTCCACGGTTTTCGGAATTCCATTTCCTCGATGTTAAAATAAACACGTTCAAATAGACTATATTGTATCCCCCGTGTAATAAGTATTTGATTTCTAGGAGTCATTGGCAACATTATCATTGAATGTAGTAAAAAGGGTATCTTATCATGATCTATCAAGTCGATCTATACACCAACCCATAAATACAAACCTACTCAACCTCCCCAGCCTCCCAAACACACCTATCACACAAACAAGTCCCACCCAAAGCCCCAGCAGCCCACTCCCTCCTCTTCTGAACCGGCAACCCAATATCACAATAATGATTCAAGATCTCCGAATCCTTCGCAATACCCCCAGCCCTGAGCTCCTTCATCTCAGTCCCGCGCGACCAAACAGCCGTCTCATCATCTCTCCGAGCACGGAAATTAATTTCACTACTCCATTCCCATGTCACATTAGGATCACACGAATGATTCGCAAGACACCACAACGGATGAACAGCGCACAACTCCGGACCTCCATCCCAAGTCGACAGTCGACCTGACGCCGTGCCGCGGAACTTAGCAAACAGCGTATTTAGAACCCATGTATCGTAGCGGTAGAGCTCGGCGTAGGGATCCAGACCCATTTCGTCGAGAAAACGCTCCGGCTGCAGGACATTAAGCTGGAACGAGAAGGGGAGAGTGGCGGTGTCGTCTGTAGTCGGGATTGTCTCTGCTTCCGCGGACACAGACTCAATATCGAAATCGTGGAAATCGCCCCAGATGTATTTCACCTCGGGCAGGTCGAGCGCGTGCTTGTCCTGTGTGGCGGACATGGCGAGCGCTCTGCCCAGCAGAAGAAGATACAGGTAATCGGCCTTATCCTTGGGATCGGCGACATCCTTCCCGATAGAGTCTAGACCATCCTCGAGACCACAGATCGCGTCGTGGTATACCTCTTGCGCGGTATCGTGGCATTTCTGACTGCAGAAGATGATATCTACGCATCCGCCCTCACAGGCAACGGGAGGCTCGGCGGCAGAGAGTTCTGGGAGCGGGGCGTTGCATGCGTCGCAGAGATCGTCGTGGAGACGGTTGGTTGCTGTGAGCAGTGATGACTCGCTGAGGATGATCTCGTCTGGGGCGATATCTTCTTTTGCGAAGAGGCCTAGCTGTACGGAGACTTCCATGCTGGAGTCGTCGTCGTCTGCTGAAGCGTGTAGTACTGGCAAAGCCACTGCGCGGACTTCACACTTTGGCGCGATGACCGCTAGTCGCTCGTTGAGCATGTTGAGAGTCTCTGGTGAGCGGCGATCAGGCTCATGCTCGTTCCAGGGATAGAGGACACGGCGGGCGAAGCCTTGTCCGGGGAGGACGCTGGGGTTGATTGAGTCCAGGTCGATATTTTCGGTTTCAGAACCAGTGCGAGATTTGTAAATTTGCTTCACGCGATCCAGTTGTGCGTTCAGGGCAGTTACTGAGGCTGTTGCGGATCTCTTTTCGAGAAGGGCTAGCCCGCGCACGCCGAACTCGAATGCGTCGCGGTAGCAGCCGCAGCGGACGAGACTGCGTACTAGAAGGACATATACTTGGTCAATGATGGCATCGTATTCCTCTTGGGTGATTGGCACAGTGCTGTCGTCTTCGTCTTCATCGTCTGATTCCTCCGCTGCTTTCTCGGGAGCCTGCTGGGAAGGGTCTATCTTCCGTCTGGCATGGAACTCGCACTCATCTGGGTCAACCACCGACTCTAGTAGTGCCAGCGCACGGTATGCATCTGCGGAGGCGAGATCGGGAAATCCCAGCTTTTCATACTGAAGACCTCGTTCAAGGTGGAGGTGGGGGTTGTGAGGGTCTGCATAGAGCCTGGTGGTTGTCTCATTCCGGGCTTGGAGCACTTGTGATTGAGACATGATGTGTGATGTGTTTACTCTTCTTGTTTCCAAGGATGTAACAAGTTTCCATACACTTTTTTGTCTTTGGCAGCCAAAAACGCAGTATAGAATCGATATCAAGATGTGATATCAGGTTGGGAGATGTGGGGTGGTAGAGAGAGATCAAGCTGTAGACTTCAGCAGCTGAATCTAGAGCATTGACACAATATCAATTGATCTTTGACTTTTATAAATGAAGTTTGTGATCTGCCCCTCTGTAGATCGACGATATTCGTGCGGGCAAGTTCTTTTTATCGCAAAAATTTCTACGATAAGGATGGTCACGTGAATATATAGTTCTCTCCATTTGAGGTTGTCCATGGGACTACTAATCTTGATTAAAGGTAAAAATCTCGTTAAATCTGGAGATAGAAGGAAGAGTTGGATATACATTAGGAGGTAAGTAGAGTAGTATGAAGATATTTGGTAATCTATTACCACCCTGTAGGTATAGCCTGCCGTAGGAATATGGTCTCTTCGTACATCATCATCGCCCGTACTTAACTTTCCGATTGAGTCTTTCGGCAATTTTGACCTAGAATCATGTAAGTAAAGCTCTATTAATATATTGACATTTCCATGCTTTTCACCTGGGCAATGTTGTAAGATTATCAAACTTACCTAAAAACACAACGTGCAGCAGCTCCCGAGACCCGAGACCATTTCTTTCGAGGAGTGCTCTTCTCGTACCCAGGCACCTTTAGTTCACCATCTGCTGTCGTATAGCAACTCCAGAGTCTGCAATGCCAACAAGATTCGGATTCTTTGATCATCAAGAACAGAACATTTCCATTCTGTGCTGCCCGTCATTCTGTCAGGCATACAGACAACTGGATTGGCCCTGGCGAAGACATTTGATTGAGTGTTCTAGCTGGAAAGACTAATTAAGTACCCGGGACAACATTCCAGAATTGTCGATTGACGTAATCCTCATTTCGTGCAAGTGTTAACAGGTCGATGATTCCACCAAACACGCAGAGGACACCTTGTGGCAAAACCTTCTCTCGTCGGACTCTTAGGACAAGCCGAGAAAAGCGCAGGCTTGTATCCATTCATTGTCGCCCAAGGCTATCCGAAGGATTGTCCTTAGCCTCGATTGCTTTGTGTCATCAAACAAGCCAAAGGCGGCTGGAAGCATATGTCACGGTACCGGAAGCAGTCGGCCTCATCATTTTGGGGTCGTCAATTGCAACAAATTTTCGAGGGGTTTATGGCAACTAGCAGGAGTGAGACTGTATATGGGGTTTGGGGGATGAAATGGACGGGACGTCTTGGATATTTATCGAGAGGCTGTTGCAATCTTTTCAGCTAGTTAAGTCGTACTGCATTTCTGAGTTCTTCGTTGCGCAAGGACACACCTGTTTGTATGATCCGTTGATAAGAGCGCATCCGTTTTGATTGTTCTTCCAATCCCCGTAGAGGCACTTCAAGTGCATCATCACACATATGGTAGATATTTGCGGTTCAAACACCTCGCCCAGCATTGAATCGTGTCTTAGTGTTTGTCTTTGCCGCTTGGGTACAACAAGTGGCTCTGCTTTGTGGTGGAAATCGTGATATCAAAATGGATGTATCTAGACACTCGGAAGCGGCTAGAAACTCCCAAAGCTATAACGACATCCACCACCCCTAGGAGGATATCTTTAACGCACGTAAGGAAAGCGAGCGTGTCTACCCGTAGAGACGGATATCGAGGCGGGAAGGGCAAATAGCGACTCGAGAATAGTTAGTAAAGAGGTACGCAGTATATGGAGGTTCACTTACCATCACTAAAGGCTAACGGTCGGCACTTCCAACTGCAGCTTGTTTCCCTCAATTTTCATGCTCACTAGATCCTTCTGAGGCAGCGAAAATACTCAGTATCTAGCGCATGATAGGTGTTTGCGCGTAGACTTTTGTTCTCGATTTGCTGCGCTGACAGAGCGCTGATGATTGGGCCACGGCGACTGAAGGCATACAATGAGGGTTCCATTTTGAAGGTTACTTCCCATTCTTCCACAGTGATCGTCGGTCATGATGAACTCGACTTCACTGACAGGGTTTCCCATATGTCGAAGATAGATGATTTTCTGTTATAGGAGTGGGAAAATATAAGAATTGGTGTCAGGTCGATGTGCTGGGTGGTTGGGGGGAGGGTGTTTTGGAAGTGTTTGACTTTATAAAGGGAAGGTACTTAAATATGTAAAATATATAGATTGGAGGAAGCACCTGAATTAAAAAGCGTTGCTATAACAATAAATGTATGCTATGGAACATCTTTTTGCTTTTTGACACTGTGCAATCCAGCTCTGGAGATATCCAGACCTCCGTTCATCCTTTACATCACCTATCGATTTATTAGTATCATTTCCACAAATCAGCAGGAGATCTAGATAGACACACCGAGCAATTATCATCAATAACAATAGTGCGATGTTCACCAGGAGAAGCAATATCATCAATTCCAACCCCAAGGCCGCCACCCCTCAGGTTGGTAGCCAGGCGCTCGAGCATACTCCGCTTTATGTACTAGTCAGTGAAAAGAGCTAGATAACGATCGAGGGGTATATAATGTACAGTTATGTGTGCCTCGCTCATACCGCCACGACGTTCAACATCGTTTTGGCTCATGATGCGGTAGCTTTCATGGACTCGCTTTCGGCTCTCGAGACCGCCTATCCTGGAGAGTGTTCGACCAAACTGGTTGGATGGATTGTCGGGATCGAGGATGTTCACACCATTACGAGCATCTTCTTGAGCATTCTGGTCTGGCGAAAAAATTTTGATGGTCTTGTCAATTCCCGAAGCGGCGATCATTGGTTCATAGGGATGACCTAAATTACAGTGTTAGCGTTTATCTTTCTGACCAATGATGGAAATTACCTTGAACGACATTGACAACCTCAGTATCACCTTCTAGGATGTTGACCAGATTCGATGTTTTGCGGTCCCAGATGAATATATTACCAGAATCACAGCCGCTGACCACGTACTCATCATTCAGCCCGAAATAGTTGACATCCTTGACGGTCCTGACGTTGCAGTGGCCGCGATAGCTTCGCATATGAGGTACACAGGGAACATTGCGCTCGAGATTTTTATGTCGCGCCTTTCGAATGGCATATCTCCGGGAGATAATGTCATCGGAATCAGAATCCTCGCCATCTTCATCCAAAGATGAATCCATGGGCCAGCCATCAAGATCTTCATCGTCAGTTGATTCCTCTGCCTGACTACCATCGCTCTCGTCCTCATCTGAATCAACGTCGCCATTGTCCAACGATGTTGCATTAGCTTGGGAGCTTTCAGGCCGAGGATTATCCTGCCTGGCAACAGAACCACCAGCCCTGATGAGTTCAATGCGTCGGATTCGTTCTTCCTCCTCATTGGGATCGATATCAGTCTGGTTTCTCTCTTCATCTGAGTCACCCTCAGACTCGTGCACTGTGGCGTGAAGTCCACCGAAAGCATCGTTGACAAATTTGTAGTTCACTTCCTTACCCGTCTCCATCAGGATTCCTCTGCCCACTCGCAAAATCCAGAACCTCTTCGCAGAGGCACGGTCGAGAGAGCGGATTTGTGAGGTAGGATTAGAAACACGGCGCCTATCGAACCTAGCAGCCGAGCCCCCGAGATCTTCCAAGGGCAATTTGACAGCATTCCCAAACGCAGTCACGGCAGCTCGTTGGGTTTGGAACAGGATGCGCGTACTGTCATGCTCGAATCTGTTGGCATCCACATTCACAATCGGAGTGTCACGAGCCAATTCCATAATATAGGGCACTAAGATGGTTTCGATGGCATCCTCGTCGGATTCATCTGGGATTGGGAAACGGCCATGTAGTCGTCGAGGGGCATTGCGGCGTTGAAATCCCTCTAGAAGACGCTGCCTGCCGCCCTGCAGCCAGAGAAGAATCGCTCGGAGAAATTCGTAGCCAAACTGAGCTGCTGGATCAATGGGGTCATCCTCACCCGGCGCAGGCTTGATCATCTCGAAGCTTGATTCTTCTGGATCTTGCGGTTGACCTGCTAAAGCATGAGCAAGTGTGCCAGCAGCTTGGACAAATCTCCACGACGATTGGCGATTGCGACGAAGCGATTGCTGGAAATTAACGGTCTCTCGTGATGGGTTCATGGGATAGCTCCATTCGCGCATGACATCGGCCATTTGTGGAAGAAGCGTAGACGCCATTTCCAGGGCGGATGCAAAGGATCTCGAGTACGATTCAGGTCCACCGTCTTCAGACCCTGCGGCCTCCCGAACTGTCGTTTCTAGGGAGAAGAGTGTCTTTCGAAGTGTTACCAATCCTTTTGCAATCTGCATGCTCAGTCGCTGGGCATCATTCAGCACAGAATACCGAGCCTGCTCAAGCAAATTCTCGGGGGTGGTGCCTATGTCACTATCTGAGACTGTGGGGAATGGAACATCCTCTGCCTCGCCATTCTCATATTGGATCCTGACAGTATCTGGCTCTGCTGAGCGAAGGCGAGACTGGTGTCGGCCGCCGCTTTCCTGCGATGAAGGCGTCGCGGGCTTCTTGCGCTTCCGGCTCCGTGAACTGCGACGAGGCTGTCCATTCTTCCCTTTGATGGTGGATTTATCGCCCGCCTGGGTCTCTCGGGCATCTGGGCTGCGAATCAAATCGAAACTGTAAATGTGATCACCAGACCAGCTAACAACTATCTCATTGGGGTTTGCATCACTGATTTTACAAGCAGTGATGTGTCCATCATCAAGATATTTCATATGGTGCTTGCCGCCCGGTGCGAATCTTCGCACGCATCGCGTCGCCTTGCTCATTTCCTCGTCAGCAGAGCTGCCAGCGCTTGGGGTAGACCTGCTGCCCGTTGCAGCGGAGGTGTCCTGGCCAAGCATCCGCCTGTCATGCAAAAAGCAGTGGACATGCGCACCACCCAATGCAATATAATGCGGCTGACTTGGCGAGCAAGAGATTGTATTGAGGTCCAAGCTGTATTGCTTATAGGAGATTAAAGGGGGTGGAACATTAGAGTCATCATGTTCCGACTCATTTGCCATGAAGCCCTGGCCACCCCGTGGTGGAGGGTATGCGCTAGATGGTAGTCGCAGATCCCATTGGCGAACTTCACCATCCTCGGAGCAAGTGAGAAAGAGGAACGGCGACGATTCGGTGACAATGCGCTTTACGCGATCGGAGTGACTCCGATACACTCTGGCGTTGGTATTCCCGTCACTCAGATACCGTGCGCCGCTAAAGAACTCATTATACCGTCGCCTCCGAGTGGAAGCCGCAAATGCGGAAGTGGCGGCATCATTTCTACTCCCAGCTGAGTATTCGATATCGAAGACGCGAACCTGCGAGTCGCCGGCGCATGTAACCAAAGTCCCATCATTCGAGTGTGGCATAAACTTCACGGAGAAGATGTTAGCTCTGTGGCCGGTGAAAACGGTGGTGTTGAGCGCGAATGGAGCACTGGAGGAGTCGGGTTGGTAGGAGTAGATATTGAGGTGCTTATCATCAGAGCCGGACGCCAGGAGACGCCCTGAACTTGACCAACTGCGAGACCGTTAGCATGATAAGCATTATAAATGGCGGAAGTGTTGGCCAGTCGATAAAACGACGTACTTCAGCCTAGGTAGAAGCTTTAAACGTACCTGAGGGCATTGACACATCCAGTGTGCCCACCGAGTTCATTCACAATGTCAAGATCATTGACCCATTCCTTGGATCCATAAATTCCCCGAAGCCCAGCATACCGCAACGATTCCCCGCATTCCCGGCGCCAAAGGCGATCGTAGATCGAGTTTTTCATGATCACTGAATCAGGTGGGCGAGAAAGTTGGAATTCTTCGCTAGGTACGGTCGGCGATCATCTCGAAAGGCACTGGGCAGGTGGATACTGTCTCTTTGCGGATGACTTTTATCTGTCAAAACGGAAGCTACCGTGGATGACGTCAAGAAGAGAGATGAGAGATGGCTTTTTCATCACCCCGGATAAAGCAACTCATGAGATATTTGTATGCCGTATAAGGTATAAAGAGGCAAGTGGCAATAAAGTGAGAAAGACAGAGATAAAAGTATGAGGAGAAAATCAGCGAATTCGCGATACTCCAGGATCTAGACCACTCCGGGAAGCCCTCCTCAAGTCAGATTGAGCCCTGGAGTTGACGCTGGCTGACTCATCAAGTTACTTCGGATCAGGTACCACACAGGCTATGGTTGGCCGTCAGGTACTTGGGGCCAAGTACCACCAATATCGCTCATATTCATTCATACTTTTCATATCATTTTCATTTCTACATAACATGTACAGTTGGAAACTAGCCATGGGTATTCGTGTATTCAAGTTGACCGTAAAGATACGTATATCATGGACTAGCTTCTCCATGCCCCGACTCGAGGAGCCTTCGTTTCCCTTATAGAGCCTGCGAACTGCATCGCAAGAAGGCTGACAGCATCTCTTTCTGAGCGCACCACTTCTGTCTCCAATGCTTGCATGGCATGAATCTCCTGCGTCATAAGCTGTATCAATTCAGCCAGGTTCTTGGCTATTCTGGCAAGAGCAGACTGTTCTAGACGCTCCACTTGTCCGAAGCCAAGAATATCAAGGACTTGCAATTCGCGTGCACAGAGTTCCAGCCTCACATTTAAATTATGCAATGATTCTTTCCAGCTTCGTGCTAGGGGGTCAATAAAGGCGCCAACATCAAGACATCCCGGTCCACGGTTATGGCGAATAAGCTCCGCTCTGTCAAGCCAGTCTTCAAAGGCCTTCACAGCCTGAGAGTACTGTGCACCCCGGCTGCTAGCAATCATATCCGAGACATCTTGTAGAACCCGTGATAGAATTTGAATCTGCTCGGAGAAGTCATGCGAACCGCGATGTTCACGACAATTGGAAAGCCAAAGCCCCAGGGCCTGCAAATTCAGCTGACACTGCCGCTGCGTTTCATCGGCCAGTACCAAACGATATTGGCTAGCGACACTGCCATACTTTTTGCGCAGACGTGACTCGGCATCAGACTTCCATTCAGCGTGGCGTTGTAGTGAGTTGGAATGGAAAAGACTGAGCTGAAGAAGCTCTGTTTGTAGTGCTGCGATATCCGGCCATGATGAAGGGATCAGCAGATTCCCAGGCTGAGGTTCGACTCCAGGGGTAGGCGTTGGAGGCTTGGAGAATTTCTTAGGTGACGACGGCCGCTGGTAGGTTGAGAGTGCTCGTGCACGTTGGCCGGTTGCTGGGGTTGTTTCGGCTTGTTTTGTATTCTGTGCCAACTGACTCCTGTGTCGCACATGGCTTTTGGCTTCCACGGGTGGTCTCTTGCTGGCGCTGATAGGCTGCCTCAAAGACGCGGACCGTGTGGGGCGTGGTGGGGGTAGCATCTCTATTTTCTTGGGCGAAGGGGGCCTTCTGATTGTAGGAGGTTGAACTGGGGATCGTCTTCCTGTCACTTTGCGGGGTGAGGGCGGCGCGAATGATGGCGCTGAGCTCTTTGATGAAGGGACCGCAATGTTTGCTGATGGCATCTTCAACGCACCAGGTCGCATGATGCTTTGGCGGCGGCTGAGTGGAACTCCGGTCTTCATTGCTGTAGAATCAGCCGGTGTTTGCTTTTTAGGCGGCGATATCTCTCGCTGTCTAGTGGGTGACGGGTCCCCGCGTGGTTTCGGCTTGCTGCTAGGTGGCTGAATGCGCCCATATACTGTTCCGCGACCATTGTCTTGGACAGTATTCCTGCGCTGGGGGAGTAGGGTTCTTCCTCGGGCAGTGAGTCCATTGTCTTTCAGAGGCACACCCTCGACCGGCGAGGGGTTTGATGGCGAGCGGTTCTTGTTATTCGTCTCTGGGGTAGAGTCATTGCCTGGGCTAATCGCGGCGGATAGTGGAGTGGAGGGTTTTGTGGCAGGTCGTGCTATATTTGAAGTCTTTATTAATTAGCATGGCTTCTTTATGTAATTGTTGGCATGGCAATGGTGGCACAGGCATGCGACAGCTGTGCTTGACGGGTAAAGGACTGACTTGTTTACGGGGATCGCGCAGCGAAGCCGAACGTGTTGGAATGGGCATCGTACAAGGTCATCAGAGAGGCATTATGCATTGGGTTTAAGGGATGGGTTTGTTGTTAGCGGAGAGTCGGGGAGGTGCGCGATCTTCCCCAAAGTACCCACACCTTTTATTTTATCTATTTTTTGTTGATCTTCCAGGTTACTTAGGCAGTGAAAATGCATCTAAAATTTGTCAAAAATAATAATAAAAAGCAAAAAAGCAACCAAAACAACTAAAACAATAATAGTCAAAGAGAAAGATGAAAAATAAACGTCCTGCCCGGCGAATCGGGGTTTATGATGGTTTTCTAATAATCGTACACACTACGGAACCAGTATCAGAGATTCTTGAAGTAGGTTAGAATAAAGTCCGTGAAAACATACATCTATTAAGATATATGTGTTTAGGGCCATTTTCAAGAAAAATTCAATAAAATATGAAAAGGTATGAACCAATTTAAGGAGTTGCTAAAATCAGTTGCTACAAGCTGAGGTTATATATCCTGTGTTACTCTAAGCGCTTTAGGGTTCCTACATATTTACGTTTGGAACAGAATACAACTACGAACCGATAGTCATATTGTTCAGATCTGTTGAAAATCGAAATAGAATAGAACCTGTTCCTCCGGCTCGACGAGCATACCTCTTATAGGTAGCCCCGAAGCCCATTCTTCGTCAACTGATGTAGCCCTCACTCTCTCATGATCAAACCATCACTCAAATGTCACTTCCGCATGAAATCGGCCCCACCATCTACATCATAGTGAAGATGTTAGATGACGTTGTTGAGTACTCACTGAAGCCGCTCTTCGAATAGCTTGAGGAGGGAATCGAGTCTGGTGACCAGGCCAGCAACAAACTCAGATAAGCATTCACTAATATAGCGCGGCAGGTGTCAGTATAGATCAAAGCAGTGGAAACCAGATGCATATTACTCACTCTGGACCGGGGGCGAGGGAGCCCACGGTCGTGGCTCCTGAACCGGAGGACGACTTGGTCGCATGCACGGCATTGATGGTGCCAGCTTCGGGGTCCAAATCAAATGCGTTGTCTGAGGTGATAGACAATTCAGACGAGCCAGAATCGGCATGGCGAATGATTGAAGTGCGCATGGTGAAGTTGATCAGGTCCATGTCGACTGGAATGATCTTGGTATCGGACAGATCGACTAGGTCGATAAGATCGGAACTCATCGCAATGGGAGTGGCGTTCTCGGCCTGAAAACAGGAGTTGTTGCCCACATCCGCAGTCTCAGCACCTGTCGTGCGGTCAATTAAACCAACATAAGATGGAAGGGTAGGATCGTCCCGTCGGTCTTCGAGGTCGATGAAGGGACCACGAATTGCCTTGACGTCAGAGTGCATGTCGATCAAACGATATTGGGAGCTGTATTAATGATCCCGGTGTCCAGCTCCAGATCAATAAAGCCAATGGATACAAATAGGCCATTGAGTCGAAGGTTGGAATTGAAGTTATTGTAGTTGGGGTTGGAGGATGGCATGAAATTGCCGTCGGGTCTCATAGTCATCAGACGAAGGTTGCGCGCAACGTGTTCTGCCATCCTACTGTATATTATTTATAGTGAAATTTGATTTTTGGTTGTTATACTTACTCGATAAAGCTCCCGAAGCAGCAAAATGAAATGGTTGTGAGTTGATGTAGTCAAGAGTTGAGGTCGAAGGTGAGGTTCGAAAAATGGACCGATGCCTAGCTGACGAGGCAAGTCCAGGGGTGGAAAGTTTGCTCCCTTTGGTCCAAGGATCGAACAGCTGGTATCATTGAATATCTAGATGTAGATGTTTGCTTTGGTTATCTACAAGGCGGTAGTGAACTCGGTGCACAGAATCCCTTGTGACGAAAGGATCTACTAATTGAACATGCGATATCAACATCGAGTATAAAACGGCCTATAGCTCCGAGAAAGCTTCACAGGGCTAGTTGTAGAGCAAGTAACCAAGGATATTTGCTAGCACATCGCTATATGATGAATTGGATTGAATCATGGTATTGACCTTTTGGGCCAGAGCACTGTTTAGAAATCTATTGAATAGCTGATCTCCTCCACCAGTCGCTACGATAATACTCCTTCACATTTTATTGTTCACGTATATGCTAAATCCACCTTTGGCTTTGGGTAAATGCACTTGTAATGATGCTATACGTCGGTGCCTGGTTCGAAAGTGAGAAATTTCGTGAAGAGTACATCGTTTGTAATAAATTGTTAGTCTAAGAACTTAATTATATGAAGACGACTTGATGCCAGCTGGACCAGACAAGAGCACGGCTGCTTGTGATGTTGGCGAATGGGTCGCTTATATGCAGTGGCCTTGTTTGTGAGAGATATGTTCGTACGTCCCAACAATATGTCGGACTAGCAACGTGGTTTATCTACATAAAAGGTTATACTACAAGGTTTACACAGAAAAGTTGCTTTATATTTCTTGCGTGCTAAATCGAAATACAATGCTCTTTGATACATTATATTCATGGATATAATTCAAGTAGAACTGCAACTAGGTAGATGATATATATTACTATAGTGGATCTTTCGTCTCTATATCAAATCAACTGGTGAATGTCATCAACGACAGGCGGCCGGCCGACTATTCTCGTCTACTATAAATTATAACTTAGGTTCCACCAGTATCAAGTTTGCAATAATATGAGCTCTGGCTTGATGACCAAACTGCCAACTCCAGCTGGCTTTATTGAGTAAAGATCTCGGCTAGCAAGGAATAATAAACCCTCCTTGAATTGCCAGATTTCTTTGCAGATGGACATTTGCATCAACGCCGGGTTAGAAGTGGCAACATATTGCGCGGAGGACTCCAGAATGACCAAACATACAGTCCTGACGCTCGATACATGGATCCAGCAACATAAGGCGACCTCTGCATTCCCTAGTATATGGTGGCTTATTTGCACTATATTTCCTTTTAGCCATCTGCTATCATGTTTGGCCGTAGATGTTTCATGAAAAGAGCAGATGTAGACTTACCACATTTCCCCTACATTTACCCTGTTTTGCACAGCACCGGAATGTGCCGTCGTTGCAGTATTCTCCCCTCTGGGAGCACCCAACCCTCGCTTCCAGATTTCCACCAGCTTCGGGCGTGGCCATTGTGAAGGCAACTAGGGCAAATAGGACAATGAAAAGCTTCATGTTTGAGAATCTGGTTTGTAAAGATGCCAAATTTGTTTCAGAGATGAAGAGACAATGTAGAGAGAAATATGGTTGCAGTATTGAGGAAATGGTTATCACCCTATGGGTGTCTTTATATAGAGCTAATAGTCCTTGCTAAGTATCCCCACCTCCACATGGGGATTCGGTATCTTGGCAAGGATCAAGTACCTTCTTGGTTATTTCCCTCATGTGAGCGATAGATTGCAGATCCTTAGTACCAGTATCCTAGCCTAGCGTTCCAAAATATGCCTTCCTGGTTCGCAACCTGGGGTTACATTGCAGATATTAGAAGCTGACGCTGTGATGCCTGCGAGCGGCAAAACGAACAGCTCATAGAGGAGTGCAGTTCTTTATTCAAACTGCAGAATGTTTATGTAGATCAATCTTGGAATTTTGGAATACGAGCGAGAATTCGTGGGGATCACCCTTGCATGACAGCAATTATGCATATAAGCCTGCACGAGCCGTGGGGGCTAAACTTGAAAATACATAGCGAAGGGAGATGAATTGGTCCACTAATATTTACACAGTACAATCGAAAGCATATAAAATGTAGACACTTCGCCTCCAGTGTAACTCAAAACAATTCACTTTTCCACTCAAACATACACTCCCATCAGAAACCCGACGACCCATCCTAACAACTTATTCTAAAATGCGTTTCTCTATTTTAGCCCTTGTGACCTTCATTGGCCTAGCGCTTGCTACGCCCATCGAAGCTGGAAAAGACTCAGCGGCTTCTGTTCAGGTCAACAACTGCTACACACTCTGCAAGATCGATGGCGGGGTATGTTCATCTCGTTTCCATGACTTTGATTGTTACCTAATGATAGCAATTACAGAGCAGTGATTATTGTCTGCGAAAATGCAAAGACCAATAGGAGTCGTAAATTGTCATACAGAAAGAGGACAATACAACGTCAACAGCCAGGTCTCACTCCTGGTTATCGGTTGACCAATCAAGCTTGCTCTATAGACATTTATGGGGCCAGAGGATTATAATTGGTGTCTTTCTAGGTTCCTTGGTTATTTTACCGGCATCAAGTTGTCTGTACTTAGCGGTCAAGTGATGGGCGTTCAGACCTATTGTCTAGATAGTCTGAAATCCTCCATATCCAATACACATGTCTCATTTCTAGCCCTACAGAAACTACTAGTTCGCATTGCCAATTGTCAACCTAGTAAGGAGTCCATTAAGCCAAGCTGTACCCCTAAGGAAAACATGTAGTTGCACATGCTTTTGTGGGGATCGGATAGAAACGGGAGATCGACACGCCTTGGCTACGCGGCTGATCGCCTGAATTGAAATATGTAGGGAAACGACAGCTCATACTAGCCAAAACTGAGTCCTTGGCGTATGTACATGCAATCTTTGCATCGGTCCTTATCTATCCAAGACTCAGGTAAAATAGAGCCTTAAGATAGTTTCAGAAGTATTCTGATTGTGTATGGAAACGAATTGTCTTATGCCTCCTTTTATTTTATGCTTAATGCTACACATATAAGGCAATACAATATCAGATATGTACAATCCATCCATGGATCTTCGACGTTCTGACCTGAACTCGTGTACATTTTTGGCCCCATTCTAGATAGGACCCTTGTTAGGCCACCCATCTCAGCTGCCAAGCAACCTTGGAAATGCTTTATGTGAAGTCCAGAATTTTGCATATGATCACGGAGTACCGATACCCGACCCATGTGCGCAAGCCTGCTGTATATTTCCCGACGCCTCGAATTTTACATTTTACAGCTAGCAGTTTTTATCATCACTTGGAGCTATATGATATCGTATCAGTCTAGCTATGACTTATAGATGTGATTGAATTTAATTGAATAGACACACATCTTCTGTAGTGCTTAAAAACTGTAATAGTTATGTTTTTCTCTTATGACTAATAGGGTCCCTGTGCTCAAATTTTGGGGTGGCACAGGAGGCTCAAATTGGCAAACCTCAAAAGAATTCGGGGCCATGTTTATGGACAGTCAGCATAATGCAAGGGGCTCCGGGGTTCACCACACGGGGTCGACACTAATACAACCAATAGAAGAGCTCCTCTTCACATAGCCTCATTGTAAGCGCTCCATAAGGCCGAATTTGAATGATCTACATGATTCTTTCAAACCCGGGGGAAGAGAACGGAATTCCAAGCCCACGACATGATTTGATGCTACTCCTTGGCTGATTGGAACGTCCATGCCGATCGTATGTCCAGTCTCCTGTATAGTTGCCTTGCTATTACATAAATGTGCCAGGGTTAGGAATAGCACCGGTGTGATATATACCCCTCATCGAGGACTGTGAGTAGTTGAAAAGATATAAATATAGCCTTCTGTCTCGATGTGAAAAACTATCTCTCCTCTCAATCCAATCAATCCAACCAAATCCAACCAAATCCAACCAAGTTCAACCCAATCATTCATACCGAAACCTCCTCAAAATGAAGTTCATCTCCGCCTCAATCGCCCTTGTTCTCTCTCTTGCTATGCTTGCAGCGGCTTCGCCTGTTGAGCTAGACAAGAGGGCATGCACCGTGAAGAAATGCGCCGCTGCAGACCCGGGAAAGTGCTGCCCCGATAAATATGGATTCTGCAATACCGATACCAAGGAATGCCATTGTGGAAAGGATTGCTTTAAGTCTTAAGTGAAGGTAAGCTATCGAGCTTTATTGATATAAAAGGAGCCGAATTGATCAGGTGTTCTAGAGAAAGACCGTGCTGCAAGCTAGTGATAGTGAATCAACATACTTCAAACTATATAGAACATGTTCGATGTATATGTAGCCCCGATATATAGTATATACTCCCCACCAGTAAGTAGGGTTTGCCCTACTTTGCGCTACTTCTTTCGGCCCTAGAGCCCATTTGCGTGACTAGGCTTACTATGGCCAGGGGGCACACGTTAGTCAAAGAGCGGTTGGAAGCAACCCTCAACACATCGCCTACGAAATGGATACCTACTGTAGGGCAATTAAAGATTGGACGCAATATCTTATTCAACTCATTTCAAAAAGTGTACCAAAAATATGACAAAATCCATAAGAACCCCAATTAGTCACTCTGGCTGCCTTAGTGCGGAAAAAGTCACAGCTATTCGACAAACATAGATTGCCCAAGCCATGCCCCGCCTAAGCACAGAGCGTTTTTAAGAATCCCGACTTCCTCCTTGTCAGATGCCAAATCTTCGAGCCTGGCAAACACACCTAACATGGGGCTTTTCTCAGCAACCAAAGATCGCTTATTGCGAAAACACAGAAAGAACGCAGATAAAAGAGCAGTTGGTGACGAGGTATCACTTTCACCAGCGCCAGAGACCACAGACCCGGATACACCTCCCCTCGACAGAACGACCTCGATCGATGTTGCCGATACACAGGCCAAGCCGGCTGACTCCTCAATCTCGAACTCCACTCCCAATTTACCGCCCTTCTCTTCTGTTTCTGATAAACCCACGCTGACAGACGCACCACTTGTGGAAACACAAAAAAATGGAGAGACCCGATACGAAGTCTGGTCCAGATCCTTTGCCATGTTTCAGGAGAGAGATACAGGCCAGGAGCTAGTGACAGCCTATACGAATTATCTAGCTTCTTTGCAGGGCGAAGACACACCTACAAGCATAGATTTCTCAAATCCAGAATCTGTTGAAGATGTCGTTAAGATGCTGTTGGCAGATCGAGAGCAAAAGCAGTGGAAATTTCACATTCGGAGCCACAATATCAGCGTGCGAGAGCAAGTTGAGAAGTTGGGCAAATTCCTCCTTTGGTCCGATCCACTCGTGAAGACTGCTGTCAGTACTCAGCCACTTGCAGCACTTGCATGGTCCGGCGTCTCCTTGATTCTTCCTGTAGGTCATCTGTTTCTTGCCCTTAAAGATCTAGGCTAATAAGACAGCTCATTATGAGCAGCGCTACAGAGAAAGGGAATATGGCGAATGGCTTGGAGGGTATTGGTGAGCTTCAAATGTTCTGGCAAATCTTCGAGACAGAGTATCTCGAGTCCGATCGTCGACAGCATTATGAGAATCTCATACAGCCTTTAGCAAAGCTCTATTCCTATGTGATTGAATATCAGGCTCGGGTCATTTTCCATCTGACGAGTCCCCAGCACTCCCGCGTATGGCAGGATGTGCAAGGGTCAAACGCGTGGACGGGGATGGTGGAAAAAATCGACAAGAGTGATGAATCCTGCCGCAACTTGCTCCAAATCACTACAAAGTCGAAGATCCAGGAGAACAGTGACCAGCAGCTGCAAGAGATCCAGAAATTGCGTACCACCCAGGAAAAGACCCTCCAATGTATAGAACAAGGTCAAAAAGACGACAAGGAAGAGAAACTGCTGCATGCGTTGGCCAAAGCTGCTGATAGCTACGAGGAAAACATGAGTCGGAATCTAATCAGAGTCCCCGGGACCTGTGAGTGGATTTTAGAGGATGAGGGCTTCAATGGGTGGCGCGACAGCAGCTCAGGCGTCCTCTGGGTGGCAGCAGGCCCTGGCCGTGGTAAGTCAGTCTTGTCGAGGTCGCTGATAGACGAAAATCATCTGGACGCCAGCACGATTACCCTCACGTCCGCAGGTGTTCTGACTAGCGCAACATCGGTTGTTGCTCATTTCTTTTTCAAAGAGGGTGCTGGTGGCAAGATGGACGGTACTCAAGCGCTGTGTGCAATACTTCGACAGCTCTTCTGGTCTCCATCCACCCAGGAATCTACGAGACTGATCAGACATGGGTTGCCGGGGTATAAGGCAAATGGTGACTCTCTTGTTCCAAAATTTCCCGAGTTATGGCGAATCCTGGTGGCGTGTGCGGCAGACCCCGAGGTCGGCGAAATCACATGTGTCATGGATGCGTTAGACGAATGCGAAAAGAGAAGTGCACACCAGATCATTGATACACTTGAGGAATTCTACAGCACAGATCAGACGTTAGCGCGATCCAAGCTCAAATTCTTCATCACAAGTCGTCCACTTCAAAACCTGCAAGATCGGTTTGACGGTTTATCAAACAATGCAACATATCTACGACTTGATAGCGAGAGTAAATCTGAGCAGATTCAACATGAGATTGACCTAGTCATTGACGAAAAAGTTGAGGACATCACAAAGGGCTTCACCGAAAGCGATCGAGAAAAGATCAAGCTCCGTCTGAAAAACATGCAGAATCGCACATACCTCTGGCTACACCTGATATTCAACATCATCCACAACGATCGCCTAGAATACAGCAGGTACTCAGATCTAGAAACACTCTTGGATGATCTACCAGAGGAAGTCTCTCAAGTATACGAACGGATGCTGAGTGGAAGCAAAGACAAGTCGCGATTGAAGACTCTTCTTGAATTTGTGCTCGTGGCCCAACAGCCTCTTACTCTTGACGAGGCGAACATTGCCTTGACCCTAGCTATTCAAGACCAAAAGGGTCAAGCAGTTACATCACACGAAGATCTCATGGCCAAGAGATGGCCAAGCGATCAGTTTCAAGGCTATATCATGAATCTCTGCGGTCTTTTTATCAGCGTCCACGAGGAAAAGCTTTCGTTCATTCACCAGACCGCACGAGAATTTCTGACAACATCCAAGAAAGCAAAGGAGGAAGGATATTGGAAAGGTGTCTTCGATTTGCCTCACTCGCACGGCACAACATCGCGACAATGTCTGCAGTACTTGTTGCTGCCCGACGTCAGCTGGAGGACCGAATGGGATGCTTATTCGGAGGATCACCTATCCGAGGGCATCAGAAATCGGAAATACCCCTTTCTTTCGTATTCCGCTCGGTACTGGAATTTACATTTTATCGAACAGGAGGCTTCGCTTGCTGAGCAATACACAGAAGATGCGCGCGTTCTCTGTGATGTGAAAAAGCATCATTTAAGCACTTGGGCTCCAATATTCGATTATTCTGAATTCCACGATGTTTCAGTCCTGACAGATCTGCTTGTGGCGTGTTATCTTGGAATAACGCAGGTCATCCAAGTACTGCTAGACGAAGGTTTCGACGTCAACATCCAAGATCAATGGTCGCTCACGGCCCTACAAGCAGCATCGCTGAGGGGTTTTCAGCAGGTTGTCCAGATACTACTAGACAATGGCGCCGATCTCTATTCCCAATTTGGAAGATATGGCATATCACTCCAAGCAGCATCCTTCGGAGGCCACGAAAAGATAGTCGAGATCCTACTCAACCAGGGCGCAAATGTTAACATAGAGAGTAGCGATTTTAAAAAAGCACTCCAATTAGCATCCTACGAGGGCCACGAAAGGGTCGTCAAGATACTCCTTAAATGGGGGGCAAAAGTCAATATGCAAGGTGCAGACTTTTATACAGCACTCTATGACGCATCCTTAGAAGGCCACGAAAGGGTCGTCGAGATACTCCTCAATCATGGAGCAAACGTCAATATGGAAGGTGGATACTATGATACACCACTCCAAGTAGCATCCTTCAAAGGTCACGAAAGGATCATCGAGATACTGCTCAACCATGGAGCAAATATCAATCTCCAAGGTGGACACTATCATACAGCACTCATAGCAGCATCAGTTAATGGCCACGAAAGAATCGTCGAGGTGCTACTTAACCAGGGAGCAAATGTCAATCTGCAAGGTGAGGTCTATGGCACAGCACTCCAAGCAGTATTAGCTATGGGCCACGGAAGGATCGCCGAGACACTACTTGAATGGGGGGCAGACGTCAATCCTCAATACGGATCCTCCCATACACCACTCCAAGACGCATCCCTCGCAGGCCTCGAAAGAGTAGTCGAGATACTACTTAGCCAAGGAGTAAACGTCAATATACAAAGTGGATACTGCCATACAGCACTCCAAGCAGCATCCATGGGAGGCTACGAAAGGATCGTCGAAGTGCTACTCAACCAGGAGCAGACGTCAACCTACAAGGTGGAGACCACAATACAGCACTACAAGCAGCATCAGAGCAAGGCCTTGAGAAAATAGTCGAGCTGTTACTAAACCACGGAGCAAACGTCAACCTACAAGGCGGACGGTGTAACACAGCACTACAAGCAGCATCAGCTTGGGGCCACGAAAGCATCGTCGAGATGCTACTTGACCACGGAGCAAACGTCAATCTACAAGGTGGAGAATTCTACAATATCGCACTCCAAGCAGCATCAGCCAAAGGCCACGAAAGCGTCGTCGAGATTTTAAATGGGGGGCAAACGTCAATACTCAGAGCGAAGACTACAATGCAGCACTCCAAGATGCGTTAGATGAAGGCCATCAACACATAGTCGAGATGCTAGAGCAGGCCGCCAGGACTGACCCTTGCCAGCCGGCCGAAGCATGCGAGGTTGTCGTGTGAAATGGAAAATATGGGAACGTATCCAAGTTTGAGTTCTATTCGCGTAATATCTGATGTCAGTAAGAATGCAGTGACAGAGGGGTGGATATGAAAAAGGTTGACAGAGTGGTTATATGACCACTCTAGTTTGTTCCCATGTAGGGGTAGGGCAGGCGATGATTTGTATTTCGTTGGCCATGATGGCCCGGGGATATCTTCCTAAAAGGATAGAACGGAGTATCACTTTTTAGGTTTCAAACAGTAGAAGATCTAAAATGACACCAAGAACAACGCCAGTGACACACACAACAGGACTTCTCAAGGTTAGAAGATATTTAGAAAGGAAATCGCCTAGTTTGTAGACAAAATGATGGAAGAAATATGAATTCTATTCTAAGTTTGGTCTACCGGTCCTAACAGATCAAAGCAGAACACCCCTTTTCATCATAGCCAGTGCAATCAATGCCAAGGCAAATCTTGCGAAATAGGAAACGAAGCCATCATCCATCTAGCAAGTCTCACACCTCAAAGACTCCCACGACGAGGGAACGAAACACCATCCACTGCCGGGTGATCTGTGAACCAGCTGACCTTATCACCAGCGCCCTGGTTAACCAGCGCGGAAGGAAGACTAGAGCCCTCCTCCAGATCAAAGATCTGCTTCAGGATATCCTTCTTGCCGGCGCCGGTCGCAACAAAGGCAATGCTGACAGCGTGGGTAACAACCGGCAGGGTAAGGGTAATGCGCTTGGGCGGGGGCTTGGGGGAGTTGGTCTCAGCAGCAACCCAAGCATCCTTCTCACGAAGCAAAGCATGACCAGGGAAAAGCGAGCAAGTGTGACCATCAGGACCACAGCCTAGGAGGATGAGATCGAAGATGGGAATTTTAACGCTATCCTTAGCAGCGAACTCGCGCATCAGATCCTCACGGTAGAGATCTGCGAGTTCCTGGGGATCGTCATCGTCGACGTGCTTCTCGTCGATGGGGTGGACGACGGGGGTGCCGAGCTCGGCGGGGATCTTGTTGACGAGCTCGTCGTTCAGGAGACGGTAATTGCTGTCTTCGTGATCGAGGGGTACAGCGCGCTCATCGGCGAAGAAGATGTGCCACTTGGAGAATTGGGGGGTGTCTTCCGGGGAGCCATTGCTGGGGGCGAGGAGGGCTTTGGCCAGAACGGTTGGCAGAGATCCGCCGGAGACGGCGAGACGGAAAGTGCCGTGTCGGGAGAGAGCGGTGTTCTGGCAATGGAGGACGTAGCCTCGCAATTGCGCAGCTAGTGCGTCGGAGGTGGGGAAGCTGTAGAGGTTGGGGTGGCCGGCCATGGTGGAAATATGTGGGTGGAATGGGAATGAGGGGCAGGAGATATTTCGTTTTGGCGGGGCAATTCTCTGAGATTTGGGGGTCTAGACTCGGAGGTTAGGGATCAAGACCAGTCTAAGGTAATCAAGAAGAAAAAGTGCCGGATGGAGAAAATATGACGTCGCTGAATCTTATCGTATGAGTTTGGAATTTCGCGACGTTTCGATGTTTCGATTCACCCCGTACCCCTCCACCTTAACTTCTTAAGACTCTCTGCCTAAACTAAACTAGCTGCATGATTCTAATTCTGTTCAGATAAGACAATGATCTCAAAGATTTAAATCTAACTTTGGAGACAGTTTAACAGTTTAAACGGTTTAAACAATTTAAACAATTTAAACATATAAATCTGCCGAAATAAAGATTATGAGCCTCCACATTTAAGAAATAGTAGAGGATATATTAGGTATAACCTTGGAAGTCATGTCGAAATATTGGGATGGTTAGCGTGAAGCCTAAGACGCCCACCTACGTCTACGTACATGATAGTGTTTCCGATATTATTTCCGATGTTTATTTTGGAAGATTCATTCTTACCGTCTCAATCCATATCCCACTAACTATTCAGTCAATACGGAACAGTCAAAGATATACATAGAGAACGCCCAAATTCCAGACAAAACAGAAAAGTGTTCGGCATGTCCGGGTTTAGGCAGCGTTATTTCGGAAGCGCCCAAAAACAGCCCATATGTAAGCCCATATGTAAGCCCATATGATCGGCAGAGAAGGGGGGATAAGGCTAGAAAAAAGGATTGGGCGTTAGACCATTTAAAAGCGCCAAATATCTTCCCTGTTTCACATCGTTTATCCCTTTCCTTGTTTATCAGGTCAAATCATCATCACATATAAAAAAAACCGGGGTAAACCGAGAAATCACGAGGACCGGGTCAACTCAAAAACATGCGATCCCCCCCTTTTCTCTCAACATTTGAACTTATATCCTCAAATCCCACAATGAGCTCCCCAGTACAAATCACTCCTCAACCTTCAACTGGTGTTGCCCGTCCTACGGCTTCTCCAACCCTCGACATTGTCCGATGTTCCCGTTGTCAACAATCTCTCAGCCTAGGCCAATCAGGCTGCAGCATCGTTCAATTCGGTATGAACTCCTATTACTGCAGCCGATGCGCAACCAAAGTCGGTTTCGGGGAATGAAATGAACATCCGATTTTCAAACGACAAAACACCAAAACCAAAACACCAATCCAAATAAACCGGAGGATCTGGGGAGTCTAGCGAGTGGTTGACCGAATCATCAAAAACCGTCTTACAAACCAACAAAAAATCGTTCCCCCTAAGGATGCCACTTTCCGAATAGGATAAAACTCCATTACTTTCCTTTGCGCCTCGGACCGAGAGTTCCTGTGAGATTCAGCCTGTGGCACTGCCTGATCTTCGCGATCTGAAACGGAGAGTTCACTTCAGAGTGGAACATCGGGGATCGGTGGTTGCAAGAACCACGGACCGAAGGGTGCTTGGAAGATTTGGCCCATTCCACCCGGTCGGCCTTATAAGAACATTGCATAGATTCTTGCAACTTCAAAGCATGCTTTTTATATATGCCCATTTCTATGTCTTTTGCATGTTGCAACTGCTGTTTCTTTCGCTTCGGCGATCGTCCACTGGATTTATCTTTTTCGAGCAATTGGAGCGCTTTCTGATACCTTTTCATTGGAACTTCATTAAAATATATAAACATGACCCTTCAATTACCTAATGTATATATTTAGTATACCTCTCAGGCAAGTAATAAACCTAAATATTTGCATTTGGCACCCGGGGAATTCAACCCCGTGAGAGGACAAGGCACATTCCAGATTTCCCACAATTCGCCAGTAAAAGACACCGTAGATATGCCCAAAGGCCAGATTGGCCATGTGACCTCCCCTGAAACCCTGTGCTTTGGTCGCGTCTCGTCATAGTACAGCTTCGTCTCACACCGAGTTAATCATACATTCTTGGAATGTAGGTAGCTCCCTATGTGGATGGTCATTTGTCGTTGATATACTTCTAGTACATGCCCTATGCCATGTTTATCATAGTTATTGGTCGACTGGCCCTGTACTATACATAGGCTTAAGTACATGCGTATTCCACATCCCTCTTTTGAGAGACGGGAACGCCGACTGTAGACTTTCTGGGACCTGCAGTGTGACTATCTAGGGGCAGTAAGACTATCTAGGGAGGTATACGCTGTAGTGCACATGATAAGTGTTCAAGAATTTAGATGAATTCCCAGACTTACCCTTCCTAACTCTCGCATCTGCAGGTACTTGAATCAATAGTCGATGTAATTGATCCAAAAAAGAAAAAATCAATAACTGCAGGGTATGACTGCTCATGTTAAGAGACCCGCTCTGATCGAAGATCCCTCTTAAAATTTCATTTTTATTTCTATTTGCTTTTTTTTTTTTTCAATTCCGATCTGACAATTGAGCCAATGTGATGAATACAGGTCCACTCTGCATGTCCATTCTGCATGTCCGATTCGGATCTAGCGGTGTAACCACACATTAAGTCGTAAGCGTATTCGAAGTGATTTGCCTCCTGTGCACGGGTATACCCGGTACTTGAATGGAGAATTTTATTTTAATATTTACAAAGGGGGGGGGGAAGTGTACACATTAGAATGGGCCATACAATGCCCTTATGTGGAACTATATCCGGTGGGACGGCAGACCACACCTCTATTGTATTTGGCAGAGCTGAACTCATGGGGAAAATGACATATCTCAGCCAGAAGGAGAAAGGGAGCTGCTTGTTCTCTGGTATGACTGGCTAATGCTCATCGTCTGGCGTCGCTATTCGTCCAGTTTGTGCAGTATTCTGGGTCCCCATTTCTACTTGCAAGCTATGAATAGGAATATCATAGATTATTACTAGCCATAAGAAATAAATTGACTATATCATATATCATCATAACTATTCTTGTGAAACCTCGACGCTTTCTCTTTTTTTTTGTTCCAGCGCTTTATAACCTCCTCGACTCTCGTTCAGCTCGTGGAGGGGTTTATCTCTTCCTGCAGTTTGTCGGTCAGACCAATAAGTTGACTTGCATTTATCCGACAGGAAAAAATAGGTAGGCTTGTGCGGTTTGATTTCCCATTGCACCTTAATGCTTGGTGATGTCGTCCCTGTGGTCATCTCAGTCCAAGCAGAGTGGGAATCAAAAGGTAACACCATATCTATATACCCTGAGCTAACATAGGCCTCTAATAGAGATTACAATTGCCCAAGTTCTGGATTCGGCTGAATACCTGGTCGGACAAGTCGAGCCCCGACTGTTTCGCAAACCCGACAGACCGGGATATTTGCAAGCATCGACATCGGTCCTCCATTTAAATCCATACGACTGAGCTAGCGCGCTTTCGGTACTAAAATACCGGGGTGCATTTAGAGATATCTGCAGTCATGCCTCCTCTCGGTCGTGATAAAGGTCGTCCCAGATCGCGCAGGTCGGACGATGAGTTCGTCGTATTCCTTCAAGGCGTGAGTTTGATATGTAACATATCAAATGAGTTCAAAAACTAACAAGAATCCCAGATCCCACCTCATTGCCGCTGGCAAGAACTCAAAGATCTCGTCCGTCAAACTGCACTGCATATTCGTCAGGCAGTAGTATACGATGATAGCCACGGATTCCCCACCGGCCTCGGCCAAATCATCGTCAAGAATGAAGACGAGGCATGGCGAACCTACCGTATGTATTTACTATATCCAGTCCCCAATACTCCACCCCTAACACCGCAACAGATCGCCTTTCAACCAGCGGATGGGATGGCCAGAGTCTGGTCGTCACACTCTCGCGAACAAGTACGCCCACAAAGCCCATTGCCGGTCCTACCAGAAGTCCAGCAATGATGCCTACAGGCTACATCTCCGGCCACTCCACGCCTCCATTAGTACATGGAAACATAGCAATGCCCCCATCACCCGTCTCACCAGAGTAAGTCCACCACATGCTTATTAACTAAGAAACAAACTAATCACTCCCAGATCCTCCCATCCGCCAACTCCACCATATCCATACCCAGAGTACGGCGTCATGATGGTCCCCATACCAATGCCACAATCATTCATGCCTATGATGCCAGATCCACACGCACAGCCAATGCAGTGTTTCCCCCCATCCCCAGTAATGAACGGCTTTTACGAACCGCATTGGAGCATGATGTCAGGGTATCAGATGTCCCCTCCACACCACATGCACCACCCGAGCGATACCCAATCACACAACTACCGCGAATCTCGCAAAGGCACGAATCCCAACTCTCCATCTTTCTATCCAGACCATCGAGCTATTACTATCGAAAACTTGAATGCGGCTACTACATCCGCCGACCTAAAAACACTTCTACAGACAGCCGGCACTGTCCAGAAATGCAAAATAGCCACTGCTGACTCGGAAGATGGTAATGTCCAGCTCCGCGGCTTGATCACCATGCAAACGGCAGACGAGGCCCAGTGCGCTGTCACCATGTTTAACAATTTGAGTTTCATGGGGTCGCGCATTAGGGTGAAGGTTGATCGTGACTCGCATATCACACGGGCTGGAAGCTGTGATAGGCTGCCAGGTGCTGGTGCTGGTGCTGGGTCAGACACCGCGAGCTCGGTGCCGGGTATTGCGGATACGTGTCAGTCTTGGGCTGATGAGATGACTGCTGAAGCTAGTGTTATTGATGTTTGTAAGCCGTTGGTGATAGATGGGTCTGGGTTGAATAGGTCTGTTGAGATTTTGTCGATGTCTGCGCCTACGTGATAGAGTGGTTATGTATTTTTCGAGGTGGGTTGGTACTTCAATCATATATTCTGCTCGTGTTTTGCTTGTTGCTTTTTTTGGTGGGTTTCTTGATTGGTTTGATGTAATATAGCGACCTGTGAATTACTATATCTGGTTAGTTTTGCCGTTCCCAGGTTAGCTCTTCAATGCGCTGTCAGGTTGGCTAAAAAATGGCACCTTAGGTCCATGCGCTTCCTGATACCCTCCCCCCACCAGCTTTCAAATGCCATCTTTTCTACATTATTGCAGAACAAAGAAAACGAAATTATATTCTACCTCCTTATCGTCATGTCTGCAGACTGGGCTCTTGGTAGCCTATTGGTGGCGATTATTCTTCCCCTCATAGATCAGAGACTGGCCTTGCTCATGAGAAGAGTCATCGCAACTTGCCTACAGTGGTTTCACTTTAAATTAGCACACTGTGCCTCTACTGTCTGAAACGATCTTCCACATAACTTATACTTTCATTTGCCTGACAAATGTTTGCACAATCCACCCGAGTATGCGTTTCCCAGCAAGCTCCCAGATGCCCATAGTCTCGAAGACTTTTTGCAGTATTTCTCGGCCCTTCATGCTCATCAAAAGGTGGGGGTCGTCAAAAAGCCAGTGGCCTTAGATCTCATGCGAACATACTTCAATACGGATTTTAAAACTATATTGATGTGTTTCATATCTACCATTGACACGAAGGGGTTGCCAAATTGCTACTGGGAATACCGTTACGACACATTCTCGAAGTCTTATATCTTCAAGTTTGGAAAGTCCTTTTTGAAGCTGGGGAAACATGAGGACTATTTTGAAGCGCGAATCAATGCACCATGTGAAGAATGCACGACTGTGACTAAACGCACAAAGATGGAATTCGATCTTATCATCACATCAGGGTACCCGCCATGGTATCAAGAGAATTTGAAAAATGAACATGGTGTGACTTTTACTTTCCCACAGATGAGTAACCGGAGCATTGCTCGTTCTGGCTGGATTGTTGCCATTGGCCTCGGCGATGCTCAAGCGTTACCATATTTTGCAACATCCTTTGGTGACTTTAAACCATTTTCATGGAGTCACCACAGAGGGCCTGGACAAGGTTCTTATTGGCAGGGATGTCAGCACCTTCGAAAGTTCATCAGCGGCCAGATTGGGAAGGCATTTCCTGATAACGAGCTTATTCAAGTCACAAACCGATCGATTAAAGTAATGTTGAAGAATCACACAGGCACATCGACATCTTAACTTCTAGAAAATACTCCGCTTCAGGATGCGGATAGCCGGGGCAAGTATGCAAATGATCTTGATGCATCAGATATTGATTTTGCGATCTCTATGTTCAACAGGCCTAACGGCGAGAAACTAGAAAGGCCAGATATCGAACGTTTGGAAGCCATTCTTTTACCTGTACTTTCAGGAGCAATCAGGGGGCTTCATAAGGTTCTACAGCACCTGAACACGGGCAGCTCTCAGTTAAGAGGGGACTTCAATGAACTGATAGCCCAGAATCCTTCTGTATTCCTCCGCGAGTGAATGAAAAATAAATTCAGATGCTTGAGACTCTAGATCACTTGTCATATTTTGATCTAATATCCCATACAGTATATCTCGAGCTCAGTGTTATCACCTACAGTATTTGATTTATGTAGAAAGACAACGAGGTGCCCAGAATCGGCAACAGGCATGGCTGGTTCGGGAATAGCTATCTAGCACCCGCATTACATAGCCATGACGATCTGTTTTCAGAACCCTCTGTACTGTACAGGATACTTTCGAAATATCTGGCTACTCTTTTCCACTTTGCTTTCCTATAGGCTACTGTTCTGAGCATCGCGTTTTCTGGATAAGGGTCGTACAATGCAGCGGAGGGTCAAGCGTCTCGCCGTCTAAAGTTGCAGGTGGAAAGGAGGCCATTTCCGGCATCCTTTTCACAGGTCCATATATTCTACATGTAAATTATTCTGTGCTTAGGCATATATATTCTTTTAGCTATAGATTGTTTAGTGAAATAGGATCCCTTTGATATAAGACGCACTTAGGTTTCAAAAACATTTTAATCTGTATCTCTATCCACCCTTCCCTATTACAGAGACCGCACTAGATACAAATCCGTATAGGAAGTTCTATGCGGACAAAGCCTCTTCCCAGGCGTGATACCTTCCAACGCCCTCCCATCCTCACAATCCAAGGACCAATTCCTTGATGGATCTTCCTTTAAGGCTGCCAACAGCGACCCAACCAAGACCCCAATCATCCTAGGCCCGAAAGTCGGCTTGGCGGGACATTCAAACGGCGCACATCCGAAAGGCATAAAAGCATTTCCCTGCGCCGGCGTAAGAGCAGACCAGCGACTCGGGTCGAATCGCTCTGCATCAGAACCCCAGATATCAGACCTTAGATGACATCCTTCTATATCAGCAGAGTAGGTTTCATAAGGTGCCCCCTGGTCCCATTGGTACGCTCGGTGGACATGTCTCGTAGGCACGTAGAGTCGGAGAGATTCACGGACTATGGAATGTGCACTGGGTGCACTTTGAACACCGCATGCATCAGTTATGCCGAGACCAGTGCTGTATTTGGACTTGGAACAACTGAACGGGGATTCAGGGCATGTGTCGAATTGGGATTTGGTGGGCTTCGAAGCAAAAGCAATCATGGTCTGTTGCCAGGCATGTATTTCTCTCCCACTCGCGAACTTGATCTCCAGGAAAGCTCGTAGGACGACCCGCCACATGGTCTCGAATGAAGGAAGTATGAGATTCAGCGGGTTATCCTCTGGACGATCGTGTTTCCCAAAGATATTCTCCAACGAGGTCTGAAGTAAAATGTCGTCTTCGAATTTGGGGATGTCGTTGTCAGCAGTTTTTACCTTGGATGATATCCACACTCGATTTATAGACTGCGCTAGATTCAGAAGACTTTCATCACTTGTCTGGTCTTGAGTCTTTTGGTCGAATATCTGCCATAACACAACTTTCAATGAGAGTATCTGTGCTAAGCTGGCAATATTGATCCGATTGATCTTATTGCGGGACTTATTCTGTTCTTTGTGAGAGCTGTTGCCGCAGCTAGTACCTAGATCAGGGAAACCATGCTCGATCCAGTGGCTTGTCGTGACTCTGGCGAACTCGGATACATTGTGCCACTGCTCCGCTGATAGATTTATCAAGGGTTTGACTTTGTTGACGAATATGCTGGCGTGGACACTGTCTGCGCGAGTGAAGGCGTTGTCGATTCCGAAGGCGATTGGAAGATGTCGATTGGCTATTGCTTTGGCTTCGTGGGGTGAGAGGATATTCGGTTGGTTTTCTGTGGATTTCAAGACGCCGGTAATGATTTGGCGGCATATTGCTGGGTCTTTTGATGTGGAATGGGTTTTATGTGATTTCCATAGTACTATTAGAATGAGGGAGATGGCTAGGACGATCGATGTTGCTAGGGCAGACATATTTCTCTAAGGATGGATTGTAGAAGTAGTGATCAATTACAGGGTCATATTTATAATGCAGATGATAAAAGGATTCTAAATCATATATCATCAATGAAGATGGCCTTTTTTGCTTTTGTCTTGATCATCTCTTGTCTTTTCGTTTGACTTGGAAGTGTACAAACCAATGATATGTTCCGCATATGAGAAGATCACAATTATATGTCAACGACAAGCAATTTCTGTTGTCTCGGGGGAACTGAGAAAAGTATGGGTTGTCCTTCTAACAAACGAGCAGAGAATCTGCATGTTTCAGAGCAAAGGATTGTAATATCTCAACTGAAGTGCATTCTCAAAAACTAATATTTGTGTACAATCATCAATTCATTCAAACAAGCGTGTTATCTTGGGTGTTCGTCAATGTAAGTCTCATATCCCATCCAAGTCACCATTACCCAATCGTTGCGATAAAATCATATCAAAACGCCGCTATGAAACCCAGGCATGTCATTTATTTCTTTTTCCGTCAGAGCTTCTCAGTGAGCCCAAGCCACGTTTATTTTGCATGGTTAATCATCTCTGCGTAAAGATCCTCTGGGATCTTACGAACGAGGAGAACTGTCAAAGCAATGATCTCCTTTGCGTTGAGGGGAGGGAATGAGCGGAGAATTTTATTTGGACTGTAGCCAAGTTAGTTTTTCTCAAAATAATCCAAAGAACAGGCTGAACTTACCTCGGGCTCTCGAAAATTAGGTCCCGCATACGGATTAGCTGGGCAACAATGCACAGAATGTTCAGGTGTGACCCATATGCAAACAAGAAATCCCATAGATGCAGCACCTCTGGCAATGGAGGCGTGCAAGCGCACAAGGTCAACACCGATGGGAACGCGTACAGCTCAGCGTGCATACCCTTGGAGAACAGATATGCTGCAAGCTTGGGCTCCACAATCTCAAGGCATCGATCGACCAAACGAAGACCCCTGTGCACTCCATCCATAGCACCACGGACATAGCCTGGACATTCGCGTGTGACAAAGTAATGGAACAGAGCGAAGGCTTCCACCTCGCTACGGGCAGCATAGAGGAACGGCGCACACAAGACATTCATGCCTTGGACGTACATGGCCGAATCATTTGTATTACTATTGGTGGCCTTCTCTAGCTCCCCACCAAAAGGGGACTCCTCAGCAATGATGGGTGGCGCATTAAGCTCCATCTCATAGCGCCGAGATGACGACGGCCGAGACCGGGGTTTCGGCCTGGAGTCGTGGAGTTTCCATGCCACAGCGTTGAGGAGTCGAATCAAGCTTGCTTCTGTGACTCGGCGTTTGAAGAGAGGGTCTGTGGCTAGTGTGCGGAATGTGTCGTTGCGAATTTTGGCGTAAGCGGGAGAACGGCCGCGGTGGATAAGAGCAAGGTAGTCATCGGTGGGCATAGGAGGAACATCGAGGAGGACCAACCAGAGGTAGATTCGGTATGGCGACTATTATTGCGAAGTGTTAGACATCAATCCTACAAAATAGACTGAGTACCCCTCACCATGCCATCGCCGTCAGCGTCCACTCTGCTGGATAGGACGAGGTATTTGAGCTCCCGTAGTCCCTCGTGGGGATTTGAACTCTGCGGTCCATCGCGCAAGCAGTTCTCCAAGAGCGAGCGCTTTACCCCAATTCCCGACCCTGTTTTCCGCGCGGGTCGTCTATGAGACGCAGGTGGTGTTGCTGCAGCTTCACGAGAAGCCGCGTCGCTATTTGATCGAGCTCGGCGATGTGCGCGCGCCCGAGTTGCAGCGCCAGGAGTTGCTGATCCAGAGCCAGCTTCATTGGAGCCAGCTTGGTCAGAGGCCTGGGTCTGGGCAATGAGTGCGCTAGAGGTTGACAGCACTTGGTGGGATTGTATCTTTCGGAGGGTTCGCATGGTTCGCGGTGATGCGGGTGCGTCGGGGCCCGGGACACCGAGAGCCCAGGAGGGCTGAGGTTTGGCCATATTTCTGCAATCAAGTCTGCATTGGAGGGCCACGAGCAGACATCTTTGGAAAACGGGGTAAGATGAGCGCAGTTGACAGGGTGGAGGTGTATCAGATCGCGGTGGCTGGAGCTTTTCTGCCGATGAAATGCGGAAGGCATTGGCTCTATATAGCTCCACCTTTACTGTTTACTTAGCTCCAAGGCTCACTTTTACCAAAAATTTCCATTGGTAATTGAATAATTAATGGTACATGATGATTCACAAGATTTGTATAGTCTGACCTTTGCTTCTACAACCTTGAAATCTGTCAACTGCCAAAACATCAGAAGCAATCCCTAACGCCAACTCAATTGAAACCCATATTCATGATCGCAGCTCATACACGTGCTGCATCTCCTTCATGTTTCGCATTATTTCCATTTTCACCACCCATGACGCTGCGCACAAAGTCATGATACTGGAAAATCTCGCCCCTCTTACCCATTCCGCCTGACTTCGCTCCCCGACCTATAAATGCCGGGCGCCCTATAAACCCATTGAAGACTTCATCAATTTCTCTTTCGGTCAATCGTTCCTCTCCATCTTCTGGAGAGGTGTGTAGTAGAGCATCCCGTAATTCAGCGACATCGATTTGCCCGTTGTCCTCGTCATCAAACGCAGCAAGAGCGTTGAGAAGTTCTTGGGAAGGCGACATTGACGCCATCAGCCCAGAAAGTGTATTCAAGAAGGTTGGGAAGTTCATAGTTTGGTCTGATCCCGGTGGGAAGAAGCGTGAGAGCGTGGAGGAGGACGAGTCTTGGCCTGTTCAAACACTCGGATTAGTTCATGCCAATTTCAAAAAAAATATATCGATGGATTTTCTTCCTACCCAAAGTTGTCAGCACATCAATCACATCATCTTTGTCCACAAGTCCGTCGTTATCCCGATCAAGAACCTGGAAAGCTTCTCTGATCTCCCTCACTTGTTGCGCCGATAGCTTTCCGGCTGCATCGCTAGATGGGGCTACAAAGCCACTCCTCCTTGTCCCAATGATCGGGGAGGAGCTGCCGGGCGACCGCGCTCCTTTTGTTGGGGAAGGAGAGAGCTCTCTGCCAAAGTTCGGCTGGGGAATGGGCCGCTCGCTCTTCGGGGAGCGCGATTCACCATCCTCCACTGTATATGATTGATTGAGCTTGCTAGGAGACACCATAGGTGTATATGCCCGATTGGGAGAGCTCCCCGGGGTGCCTCCTGTGCGAGTGGCCGAGGGCGGGGAGTTTGGAGTAGACGGGCGCCGGAACGGGGATGCCCTCGGCGACCCAAAGGATAACGGCGATGGTTTGAATGTGGGGTTATTGGCCTAGATCATTGTTGATTAGTTTCAAATTGATATATAATCTCTCAAAAACCTCACTTACCATGGTGAAAATCGTGTGTGAGCTAAATTATGAATTGTAAACAGCCTATGACGAAGGTTTGCTTATCGATGCGCAGGTGTAAACAAGCCTCGGGCTGGCACAACAACACGATTCTGCCACCGGCTTTTTCACCGCCTATGATATCTATACGGACATGCACCTTTTTATGTGTATTATATCCTTGATTTTAATACTTAGAATTTTACTTTAATAAGTAGGTGTATAGAGTCTTCATATGATATGCACATAGAAGACCATGATTTACTGGATATTGCATAAATTTGAACTGTGCATAGATCTATACGAAATCATACTCTTCATGAAACATAGAAAGGTCGGATGTATAGTTATGCTTTTGTTCCTCTTTTCCCGCTGTCTATGTTGTACATATAAAATGACAAGGGAAAGAAAATATATTGAAAAAACACATCTAAAAAGAATATATGAAACTACTTCGTATGACCAACACTACTAAAAAGGCTACTAAAAAGGCCACTGAAAAGACATCACAAGGCCGCGGGTTTTCTTGTTGGCAATACTCCGTACTCTATTCCGCACTGAAAAATTCGATATATCAATGTTACAATATATAAATAGAAAGATCTACAATGCAAGGAAGAAAAAAAAAGAGATTATATTCTGATAGATCGCCTTCCTCCCATGTTCAACCTTGGAATGTTATGGATCCCCTTATCGTCCTTATCGTCACTCCACTGTGGAGAAATTGTCCTTTTTCTTAACCCCTCTTAACCCCTGAACAGTTAATTCTGGTCAATTAATTCACCTTAGCATTATCATTGGCCCTTGGCGTTGTGTTTCTTGTATCCCCCGGTATGCGATTTGATTTATAGCTTTGCCCGGAGCAATCCTCTCTACTCAAACCCCCCAGAAGATGGCAACAACACTACCATATCGACCGTCGAACGACTCCCTCTCCGCCTCTCATAACCGCCAAACAAGCGGTCTCCCTCGGCTCTCGCCTGCGGCCTCCTTTATCGGACGCTCGCCCAGCAGTTCACATGGCTCTTTTCGAAGAACATCCACAGAAAATGCGACCTCAAGCTTCAGGCCACGCCGCTGTAAAGCGCAGTACCCACTCGACTCGCCGGAGCGCCATGTGGAATACATATTGGTTGCGTCCTTTCATATAGATCGGGGTCCAATCATGGAGCACCAGTATCCTGCTGCAATTAGCGGAGACGAGAGCATGCTTGCAGAGCTGATGTTGCCGGATCAGACACATGTGCGGAGTCAGGACTGGACCATGTTCTTCTTACACAAAGACACCAGTGGCGACGAAGAGACGGATTCAGCGGGTGGGAAGAAGAAAAGAAAGCGGAAATCACAATACCATGGAAACCAGGAAGGAGCCGATATTCAGGATGAGAGCCAGGACGAGTTCTCCGATGACGCCGATAGCAGCGATGACGAGGGTGGTGAAGGGCCACCCTTGATGTATGTGCTGAATCTTGTCAACACGAAGCAGGATAACACTGTCCGAAGGTAAGTCGTACTGTTTTGTCTGAATGTGCGAGTGCTAACCAGTAAATAGAGGTGCAGTGGTCAAGGCAATGGCAATCTGTACGCGGCATTCATTCCTCCACATTTACAAAGTAAGCTACTATACTTCTAGCCCTAGCATCCAAACAATTC